TCTATCTATCTATCTATCTATCTATCTATCTATCTATCTATCTATCTATCTCTCTCCGTCTCTCTCACTTTCTACCTCTCTATCCATCTCTCTCTATCTCTTTCTGTTTCTCCTCTCTATCTCTTTCTCCCTCTCTCTTCTCCATCTTCCCCCCCTCTCTCTCTCTTCTCTCTCTCTATTTCTTACTCGATTTATATATCTCTCATTCTCATTCTCTCCCTCCTATCTCCTTTTCTCTCTCTCTCTCTCTCTCTCTCTCTCTCTCTTTCATTGATTTAACCACGCGCCTGGACACCAACCGACTTTAATCTGTCTTCCTGCGACACATATGTACAGGGTGTAGAAGAGAAAATGACATGCCGCGTGTGGCAAAGCGAGCACGTATATACCTGGCGTGCAAAATGAGTGAAGGAAAGGAAAAGAAAAAGAAATATGATATCTATCTATCTATCTATCTATCTATCTATCTATCTTTCTATGTCTTCCTCTCTCTTTCCCCCCCTCTCTCTCTCTTTGTCTCTCTCCTTCTTTCTTTCTGTCTCTCTTCTCTCTTCCTCTCTCTCTTCTCTCTCTCTCTCTTTCTCTGTCTCTGTCATTCCTTTCCTCCTCTCTCTCTCAGTGATTTAACCCTGCGCCTGGACACCAACCGAGTTCTGTCTGTCTCCCCGCAACACCTATATCTTACATTGGAGTCGGACACTTATGTACAAGGTGTAGAAGAGAAGAAGGTCTACCTCGTGTAGCAAAGCGAGCACGTAAATACCTAGCGTGCAAAACGAGTGAAGGAAAGGAAATATTTATTATTGTATAAATACAATAATTGTGGCACATGGCCGAATGGGAAGTGGGTAAAGGCTAGTCTTCGCTAACTATCCTAGTCCTAGCTAATCTCGATCACGACCCATTCATCTAATACAATTTGTCCATTTACCACAAGAAATCATCCATCACCATTCAATCTTACATGTACCACAATACCACATATTCACAGGGAGAATCTACAAAAACACTCCATGGGATAAAAATGTATAATTACAAAAATATATAAAAAAATTCATGAATAATGAAATGAGAGGGAGAGGATGAACCCAGAATGTTGTTCATGATGACGGTCGTCTTTGAGTATAGAATCCAGAGGTTAGCAGTGAATATTTCGAAGACAGTAGGAAAGTGTTGTTCAGGTTAGCAGTGGATATTTTGGTAAAAGTAGCAGAGCGTAGTTTTTCCTTCTGTTTCTCTTCGCCTGACAAGCTGGAACTAGACATTCGGATAGAGTAAACAAAATGGCCGCCTTTATACACGACGGATTGAATATTCTACGTCTTCTGATTGGTTAACCTTCTATTGGAAGACTATAAAGTGAGTCAAGTCATTTGGGATAGCTCACTAGTTCCATATATACACAAAAACTGCAACACAGAAAACTAACAAAAGGTTGTAAGGAAACAAGCTAAAACAAAAAAGATGTTAGTAAGACCCGTCCACCCCACAAAATAATAAGAGTGGCCGCTGTATTCCACCGATAGACAGAATCAAGCAACACCACTCACTAATGGAGAGGGAAGGGTAAAAAACAAAGACGGAATGGGGAAAATCAAAATGTGACCCAGCCGATATTAAGAAAAGGAGAAAAAAAACTGGGGAGGCTGAAAATATTGACATGGATCATAACAAAAGAAACGAGTGAAGAAAAGAAAATATAGCCGCCCTGATACCTTAATTTAAGAAAGACACGGTCTGGGAGCTTAGTGAATTGTCGATATTGGTTTAGGCGTGCGTAAATTTTTGGCGAGATCAACTCGGCATTATAAACACCGCGCGAGGGAGAAAAGTCGGTTCGTCAACGTGGGACTGCTCTCATGGAGAGATTTTGTCGGTTAGTGTTCTAGAGTGGTTTTCACAGTGGAGGCTTGTATTTCACTAAGCCGGTCCTAAAAGAGGTTCGACGTACCAAACGTTAGGAACTTGAAAATAATAGTTAATGACGCAGCAATCTAGTTGTGGTGGTTGATACTTCAATGTCCGACATCGACTGACTCACTGAGCCCCCTGGCGACTGCTACTACTACTACTTATTATATCTGGGAGAGTCTATTAACAATAGAATAGGTATGTTCCGGTATAACAGTTAGGAAAGCGATTACTTGGGTCAGGTTTACACAAGCGTGAAGTGCGAAGAAAGAAACTGCTACGCATAGAATTTGCAGTTACATCTAGCCATTTCGACAGTAAAATGGTGGAATATTGCCAACAAACTCCTACTGCGCTTGGCTATGTAGAGAAGAGTTCATGAGGAAAATTACGATGAAAGTATTTATAGAAAAGGCACAGGGGAGCTATATTACGGTGATGGGAAAGAGACTGAAGCTGAGATGTCAGGTCAGGACCAATATATAAGAAGTCACTCAAACTCACTCACGTCCAATAGCCTTCACCGTGGAGCATCTGGCCACGGCTTTCAACACGTTAGACGTTGCTGCTGTAGTTTCTGTAACAAATACATTTTATACGGAATGGTTTTGCTAGTTCTATGTCATTCCCCTAAATTAGATTGTTTACCACCCAAGGCTGAAGAGTAGGCGTCACTATTTAACCCAGTATGGAGGAGTGTTGGATCCATACAAAGGTATTTGCGCGTACATGGATGTAACAAATAAGGCTGAAATATTCATCACCACCCTCATTTACATGTATAAGAGATGTTCATATGCTTCTGCATATATATATATATATATATATATATATATATATATATATATATATAAAAGTGAACATTGAAGTCAACATAGCGACAGTCTGTTTCATGCTAGATGCAATCGTCAGGCCACGAGTGCTCTTATTTTTCTCGGATATTTATATATACGGGTTAGTGGTGCATTGTGGGTAGTCTATTTTGGCGGTTATTTTGCCGGACTCGTTTATTTGTTTATTTATTTATTTGGGTTAAATTATTTTGCTTGTCATTATTTATTTATTTTTTTTATTTCTTATCTTATATATATATATATATATATATATATATATATATATATATATATATATTTAATCGGTTTTTTATTAACGTAGTAAAAATTTGTTTATATCGCTTATTTAATAGTTTTGGTTTGGGAAGATAAAGCTATTTATTCAATTTTGGGGTTGATTGTTGTAGTTTATTCTAACTATTATTTTGGCGGGAGCAGTTTTTAATTTGATTATTACTTCATGTATTTATTTGGATTGATTATCTTTATTTGTTTTTCTAACGGTTAATTTATCAGGATCGGTTTGTTAGTTTATTTATTTGGATGAATTTAGATTAATTTATTTTACTTGTTTTTTATTATTTATTTATTATACTGTATATTTTTATTTACTCTTTTCGGTTTTCAATTTTTAAGTAACGTAGTATTTTTTTATCGTTATATAACAGTTATAGCTATGTTTTTCGTCCGATTTTTGGTTTGATTTTTATAGTCTAACTAATATTTTGGTCATAATGGTTTGTTAATTTGTTTATTATTTACTTTATTTAGTTGTGTTCATTGATTTTTTTATTATTTATTTATTCTATTTCGTCTATTCTAACGGGTGTGATTTGGTGATTTGTTTCGGATAATTTATTTTACTTATTTTATTGTCATTTTCTTTATTTGTTTATTTATTTATTTTTATTTTATTTTATTTTTTTCAGTTTTCAATTTTTAAGTAACGTAGTAAAAATTTGTTTTCATGTCTGCATTTTGAGATGAGCTCGGATCTTTTATTTGATAATTTATTTTGGTCTGGGAAGGTAATAATATCTATTTTTTCCTCCAATCAAAGTTTGCAAGTTTTTGATTGGTTGTTGTAGGCTGATGATCTTTTCCTTATTTTCCAAGATATTTTTTGGTGTGATGTGCGTTTTGCTTTTAATTTCCCAGATATACTTAGAAAGCATTGTGCTGTTCGCATATTTACGATTTGTGAAAGATGTTTTGTGTGCATAATTACTTTGCTTCCAGGGTCCTTCAGTTACTCCTATGTATACTTTTTCTTCATTATCTGGTGATTTTATTTTTATTTAGATTTTATTGTGTTCGAACAAGTTTTTTCTTTTCTTGACACAGAGTGTGTAGAAAATGTCCAAATGTTATGTAATTCCGAGCGCTTTTAGCCATTATCAAGGATGATTTTATTTTTGCTTTTTAATTGGGTATATAGGGATATTTTATTTTACGAACACAGCATGTTGTTGCTGTGTTCGTTGTTAATAATATTAAGTGTTGGCCTTTTCTTTTTTATTATTAAGGCTTCCATTATTTGTAATCATTTTTTACATGTGGATGAGGTTATTATGTTTGTATTTTCTAGTCGTATGTTTCGGATGGAATCTGGTAAGTTTGTGCGTTTAAATGGATTCTGATAGATCTGTGGTCGGATAGGTGTTACGTAAGTCGTCTGGATACGCATGTAGTAGTGTGACCGATGTAAATATTTATGAATTCGGTTTGATCAACGAACACAGCTCCTTAAGAGGAATTTGCCACCTTAACTTTACGAGGGAATATTAATAAATATACATATTATCCCTGACCGATAGCACGACTCGGGGTTTCATGCACAAAGCAATCTTCAGGTGCTGAGTATAGGATATAATCAACACCTGAAGATTGCACTGTGCATGAGACCCCCGAGTCGTGCTATCGGTCAGGGATATGTATATTTATTAATATATATATTTAATTTATATGTATTTTTAATAAATTTGAAATAGAACGCAGTCAACTGGTATTCCAACTTTTTAAATTAAATTATATATATATATATATATATATATATATATATATATATATATATATATATATACATATACAAATAGGTAGACAGAAAGAAAGAGATTTTGTTCAGTTGTGAATTTTTACTGGGATAATTTTCCTATGTTCACCTTAGTTCTGATGAGAATAAGAAATAAAACTTATGAAAATTATAATAAATTTAGAAAGAAAGAAAAAACCGTGATAAAAAAAATTAGATAGAAACTAAATGAAATGGGTAGATAGATCTAAATTAGATAGATAGATAGATAGATAGATAGATAGATAGATAGATAGATAGATATTGATAGGTAAATAGATATATAGATATGAACGAAGATAGATAGATTGATAGATAGATAGATAGATAGAAACAGACTGAGATTGATAGATAAATAGATATAGGGATATTAATATATAGATAGATAGATAGATAGATAGATAGATAGATAGATAGATAGATAGACAAACAGACAGACAAACAGAAATATATAAAAGAAAGAAATATACTGAGAATGAACAAAAAGAAAGAAATAGGTTGAGATCGAGAAAAGAAAGAAATAGATAGATAGATAGATAGATAGATAGATAGATAGATAGATAGAAGCCTAAAATTTATTGTAAACATTTTACCTAAAAGGAAACGTTTAAATAAATATTATTCTCCAATTTATATTTCTTTAACTCCCAGCGGCTGCCCCCACAAGTTTTTCGTTTCTAGATTTTTCTTTCTTTCTTTCTTTCTTTCTTTCTTTCTTTCTTTCTTTTTTTTTTTTTTTTTTTTTTTTTGTTGTTGATATTCAGAAAAAGAAATAAGTTAATTGAATGTCATTTTCGGGTGATATTAAAATAATTTTGATTAAAACAGATTCGTGCCTATTCATTTTTATTTATTTTTTTGCGATCACTTTGACAAAATTTATAACCCATGATTTAGTGTTATTTTAATGGATTTTTCGACTGATAACCTCTTCCCAACCTGTCACTCGTTCATATCTCTGCTTTACATTCTTTTCAACTATCGTCCTTTGGTTATTTTTCTCTCTTAAGTTTTTTTTTTTTTTTTCCTTTTTTAAGCTAGCAAGGTTTTTTGACGTTGCCCAGAATGAATAATAAATCTAGCGCCTTCAACCGATTTTGCAAATTATTACTTAAATTGCTCGGCATTTTTTCATTATTATTATTATTATTATTATTCTATCGTATGTGAGGGCAAATGAAAACACCCTATTATTGGTGGGTGCAATCTTAAAACTATAAGCTACGGAGATGACACTGTGTTGGTTGAAGACACAGGAGAAGAAAGAACGAAACAACATCAGAAGACAGTTAAGGCACTTGGGAAGAAATGACTAACCATCAATTGTATAAAGACAAAGTATATGACTGTCAGTAAGAGTCTATCAGCATTTACTTGGTTAATAAATAGGTAAATATAAGTCGTTTATATTGAGTTTATAAGCATTTACTTGGTTCGAGGATAAATAAATATCCATCGTTATATTTTAGTCTATAAGCATTTACTTGGTTTGAGGATAAATAAATATTCATCGTTATATTTTAGTCTATAAGCATTTACTTGGTTCGAGGATAAATAAATATTCATCGTTATAGTTGAGTCTATAAGCATTTACTTGGTTCGAGAGTATATAACTAAGGTCGTATATATTTAAGTCAATAAGCATTTACTTGGTTTGAGAATAGGTAAATTTCCTTTGTATATATTTAAGTCTATATGCATTTACTTCGTTCGTGGATATATAAATATTCATCGTTATATTTTAGTCTATAAGCATTTACTTGGTTCGAGGATAAATAAATATTCATCGTTATATTTTAGTCTATAAGCGTTTACTTGGTTCGAGGATAAATAAATATTCATCGTTATATTTTAGTCTATAAGCATTTACTTGGTTCGAGGATAAATAAATATTCATCGTTATATTTTAGTCTATAAGCATTTACTTGGTTCGAGGATAAATAAATATTCATCGTTATATTTTAGTCTATAAGCATTTACTTGGTTCGAGGATAAATAAATATTCATCGTTATAGTTGAGTCTATAAGCATTTACTTGGTTCGAGAGTATATAACTATCGGTCGTATATATTTAAGTCAATAAGCATTTACTTGGTTTGAGAATAGGTAAATTTCCTTTGTATATATTTAAGTCTATATGCATTTACTTCGTTCGTGGATATATAAATATTCATCGTTATATTTGAGTCTATAAGCATTTACTTGGTTCGAGAGTAGATAAATATCGGTAGTATATATTTAAGTCAATAAGCATTTACTTGGTTTGGGAATAGGTAAATTTTGTTTGTATATATTTGAGTCTATATGTATTTAGTTGTTCCGGGATTAGGTAAATATTAGTCGTTTATATTTGAGTCTATAAGGATTTACCACCCGACTATCATAAGTTAACAGTCCGGAAGTCATGATTATAAGTAACACTAAGTACCAAAAATGGCCGGGGTCGGCTTATTCCTTTCATCCTTTGCCTCTATGACCAGTGACCTATATATACAGACCGCTAAGTAGTGTAAGCACCTAGTCTGTAGATCTCATGGCAGAATAAAACAGACAGTCACCATGCAGTGTTGATTCCTATCAACGCTCTCTTTCCGATAATGGGACTTTATACCCGATAGATATAGGAAATTTTAAACGCTATATATATATATATATATATATATATATATATATATATATATATGCCCCGTAGTTTGACACTTTGAAAAAGGGAATTCGTCGGCTGCCGCTAATTACTGTTAAAAGCTCTTCGCTATGAACTGAGCACTCTGGTAGACGGGAATGTTTATATCTCGTATATAATTCGTTAAAAATTCCCTTTCTCCACTGCTGGACCTGATAGCCTAATGGTGAGAGACTCCGACTGATGTCAAATCGATCGGTTTTCCATCCCGGATTGATACAATCGCATATCTACTCACACTAATGAGCTGCGAAACAGCCTGTCTGTGAAAGACTGCATATATATATATATATATATATATATATATATATATCCAAAGTCGATACTGTTTATCAAGTCTTTTAGATTTGAGAACGTTTCTGAATGGTCATCAGGTGGTTGAAAG